ACAACCATGGATTGACTGAAGCTGAAATACAAGCACCTGGAAAAAGATTCTTATTCTGCTGTTATGCAGCTTAAACTGTAAAGGGAGATATTGGTTCACTTACTGTTAACAGGGACTTCTGTTTCATTTGTTTATAACTCTGGAGTAATTTTGGATTTACAGGTACTTGGTAAGGACGAGGCTTTGTTTGTGTCCTTAGATACCACAGTGCTAATCACAGCATATTCTGAGTGATAAGGGACCCACATAAATCACCAAAGCCAGTTCTTAAGTTGATGGTCCATACAGGGATCAAACCCACAACCCTGGTGGTATTAGCATCATGATCTGACCAGCTGAGCTAATCTCATGTTCCCCATATATATTGGACATTCATTAATTTTTTGTCAACAAAGGTCTAATAACTGTACAGGAAATAATAAGCTAAAATGATGTGAATATAAATAGTTTGGCAGCTTGTCTAGAAGATTCCAGTACTAATTATAGCAAGTCAACAGTTTCTTGTAGGATAAGAGATGCAGTCATGAGATGTTAGAGCTACTGATATAGCATATTTCCCAGTCCTTTAATTAAAGGCAAGAGCAGCCTCTTCATGGTAGAGCTGATTGCTCTTTTATTCTAATTTTTTTTTTTTTTTTTGTGGTCAGGTAGTTAATTTTTGCACATAAAGTGCAATAATTTTCTATGTCAAACTTTGCAACTTTTTAGCATTGCATTAAAAATAAAAAAAAAAAATAATACATTTAATTCCATTTATTTTGTCCACTTAATTTTGATCATTTTACCACTAATTTCTTTGGTTCAGAGGAAGAGCTTGTCTCATGGCATGATTTGATTTTGGTTGATTTAAAATCAAATTCAGCATCTGTCTGTAACTATTCATTTTCTAGTAAACTTCCGGCAAAAATTCCTTTTAAATCTCATAGTTGCACACTGCTGTGATGCAGTACAAAAGAGCAATATATGAATTATACCTATTCCATCTCAGTAGTAATATCACCTAAGTTCTATTCTGCTTATGAAGTTCTTTTGAGAACTACTAGGCTGTACAGAAGCAAGTAATTAAAAAAAAAAGGAAAAAAATAAAAAAAGAAATCTAGTTTGTAAATCCGCGTGAATCTTTGAAAAACATAAAAAACAATGCAAATGGCTGGACATCTTAAGAAATATTACAACTTTTTACTTCTATGAACTTTAAAAATCATGAATCTTTAAATGTATATTAATTTCTTTCCTGAAAAGCAATTTGCTTTTTTATTTAAGGGTTGCAAAAAAAGCTCAACAATTGTCTGTGGTAGACTGAGGGCAAACAGTGGATTAGTGGATTATATATTCACTGAACATTGGTACCTTCCTTTAAACAGGAGAAAGAACAAACCTGATGAAGCATTTATTGTAAAGAGACAACAAAACTCTCCACAGATGTATTTTTGGATGTGTAATAGATAATCACACAAAGAAACAGTGAAAAAAGTGTTTGTGACTGATTGTAGAGACACTTTTCAGAGAGGTTTAGGGATACAGGTAAGAAGTGCAAGTACATGTTACTTTCTGTGTCGTGTTTAGTCCTATGATTACAAAGTTAGATTCTTGGAATGAGATCCTGGCATCCTGTGAGAAATGTGGAATTTTAAGTATTAGTCTAATCAATTTAGGACATTTTCCCACAAAGTGCCTACAAGAGAGGAGGTAAAACAAGACAAAACTTAAAAGTACAGCTCAAACAATGAAAATATCAGGTCAGCATAGGCTGCTTTTGATAATCACAAGACTTTTTCTTGAACTAGATTCTGAAGTTCCTTTTAACAGGAACTGCAGTTCGAGTTTCCTCAGTGGAAAAGCAATACTTTATGCAAGCTTTATTTTTTTTAAGCAATTTTATATACTAATTTGGTAACACTGGTTAACTGTAAAACACCTGTGAATTGCAAATTGTTTTCAACTGCAGTGAGGTTTTCTGGGGTCTTGGGGTTTTTTTTGTTGTTAATTTGGGTCAAATAGTAATTTTTTCCTTCTTACCTGAACTTGATTTTACTGATTAATTCTCCATGCTCTGTTAATTGCTGCACTGAATTTTTGAGTCCAAATGCATGTTGCTAAGGGTGTAATCTTACAGTTTGATAGAGAAATCCAACTCTGGGTACCTAGGATAGTTGTCCAGTACCAACCCAGAAAGCAGGTAAGAGTAAACTGATGTCCTGTTTCATTCAGGAGTATCACATTGGATTTACAGAGCTTGAAGCCTGAGGATACTGCTGGCACAGTAGAAAAGGAGTTTCTGAAGAGTTAATAGCTAAATTAATCTAGTTAATACATAAGGAGCTACTTGGGCTATAAAATTATGTATCCCCAGTATTTTTTCATGTAAATCAAGTCCCGTTTTATTTAGAACTGAAAAAAATGGACACATTTCTGCTCAGCTACAGTAGCTTTTCCTTTTTTTTTTTTTTTAATTAATATTCTCTCTTACTTCAACAGAAGATGCATTGTGAAACAAGGGCTGGTTGGGTTTTTTTGCTCAAAATACTTTTTTCTTTTTCTTTTTTTCGTTTCACTGTGTTAGTCATGGGTTCTTATGTTGCTTTTTCATCTTATTTGAATTTTACCTTCTGGGACAAAAAAAATGAAAGAAAAAAACTGCACAGAATCACAACTCATAGTGGGAATGAATCTGGACAGATAAACTGTGTTGTTGTGTCAGAGCCATTTCATGCTGGATTTATGTTTTACAAACAGATAAGTGACAAAAAAAATTTTGATGCGTACTACACATTTGCCCAGAAGGCATGAGATAAACTCTGTAGTCATTAACTTGAAGGACAGTTCATAGCAGACTTTCCTGTTACTCTTGAAAAATTTTTTGCTCTGCAATGCATAATTTTTCTATTTCTTTGCTTGCCAAGGAATTTCTTTGGTTTATGCTGCATCGATCCTTTCTATCATTCCTACAGTTTAACAAAATACAATAGAATGCAGTAGGATATTTAGTAGAAATATATAGGCAGACCTTAATATTTACACAAATCCATACTTAGCTTACAGAGGGATGTTTAAATTTCAGGCTTACAGTTCAGAACTTGACTTTCTTTTCCTTGTTCCTGTTGCCTTCTGAGACGTTCTCTCTACCTCATTTTGCTTATGTAATGGAAGGTGAAGTTCTTTCACCTGTAAACTGTCAGTCTTGCAATGAATTTTGGTACAGATGTGGTTTGTCTACCCCTGTTCTGAAATTCTAAAGAGTTCTTATATGCTGTACCCTCGGGGGGGGATGTGTGGGACTGACAGTTACTAGAGTTCAACTGTACATTTCAACTTCTAGAATAATTTTTTAAAATCCTTACTATTTTAGAAATTCAATGCCTATTGTTTAGAAGTATATTTTTTCTTTATTTTTTTGGGGAAAAAGTAGAAATTTATATGCAACATGATACCGGGGTTTGAATGCTGAATAAATGAGTTATTTGGTCTTTTAGAGAAAAAGTATTGTAAAGTTTTCTCAAAGATGCTTGAAAGCTCTCTGAATGATGCTTACTTACATGTTTGCTGGTTTTAGAAGGAAAGCACTAAACTGAATTTTGCTGCTTATGAGTTTTTATGAATTTTGTATTATGCAACTCAACTTACTGTATGAGCAGTGAAAGCTGGAGAGTTTTTTTCATTTTATGGTGGTTTTGCTTCTATTATTTACCTCTTACTACTGGGCACGTCAGTGGGTGACTGGTTAGACTGAATAAAGAGTCACTGCCTTCAGTAGTGAGTTTCACTTTTTTTGCAGTGAATATATGGCTCATATGCCTACAAATAGTCTTAGTTTGAAATCAGTAATATCAGCATCAAATTATTGGAAGCAGGAAGTGGAAATGAAAGTTTCTGTGGCACAATGGCCACATCTGGTATAATTTGAGATGTATTGGGTTGCCTCTTCCAGGTCATGAAAGATCTCCCGCAAGGACCCTAAAAAATGGCACAGGTTTTTATTCATGCACCAAATTTAGTCAGCAACATTTCAGCTACTGATTATGTACATCCTGTGAGGCTGTGAAGGACAGAGATCAGTTTTTAAATGTGTTCTAGTGGTGCATCCTGTAGTATCTGTTGTAGTTACACATAGCTTATATCACCTGGGTACTGAGTTAAATGCAGTTTTCAGGAAGGGCTTTTAATTCTCATATGAAAAACTTCTCTGCCAAGTAAATGCACTGTTGCTTTCATGCCTGTAGAAAAAAGGAGATTTGAGGACTAGAAAAGATCTAACAATGTAGAATCTAAAAACAGAATTCTGGGAGGTAGAGGAAAACTTCAAATAAAGTGCCTGAGTTCTTTAATACTTGTAAGTGGAAACCAAGCAACATTTTCTCTTTCAGGAAATGCTATTTTAGGATTGTTTTGGAGGATTTCAGATCTTACGGAAAGTACTCATAAAGGGAGATAATGCAAGAGAGAGTTTTTTTCTCAGTCTCTTTCATGTTAAAAAAATTTGTCAGAAAACTGTGTATCAAACTTATGATTCTAGGTGTATATTATCACCTCTACAGAGAATGCATATTTAAAATCTAGAGTGTTTGAAAGTCAGAGCTAAAAGATACTCTGCAGAATTTTTGGGGGCAGAAGCTGTCATGTAGAAGCAAAAGCTGAACGATTTTGTCTCCTCCTGCACTGGAAGGCAAAGCATAATACTGAAGAATTACACTTCACTCACTATGATATTGCCAAGTAAACCCTGGAGGGAAAGAAAGGGATTTTCATTCTAGACTGTTTCAAGTTTTATTTCTATTGTATTCAGGTGATGAGCTAGCAAAGTAGCCATCCCTATCATTATTGTTGTCATAATTTTTATTATGATTATTTTATTACGTTGACAAGAATAAAGAAATAAAGGCCAAAAAAAATGGATGCTTCAGTTTTAGGGAGGACAAACTGATTGTGGAGAATGGTTTTGTTTTTCTGTGCCTTCTCTGAGGTGTGCGTTTCTCACTGTTCTCACTCTGGCTGTTGTGCAGGTGGTTGACCAGATTGACACACTGACATGTGATCTGCAGCTGGAGGATGAGATGACAGACAGTTCCAAAACAGACACACTGAACAGCAGCTCCAGCAGCACAACAGCCTCCAGCTTGGAGAAAGTCAAGGTGCGTGGCAACGTGTCCCTCATCAAGCCCCCCGCGCACCCCTCTGCCATCCTCACCGTGCTGCGGAAGCCGAACCCACCCCCTCCTCCCCCTCGACTGACACCTGTCAAATGTGATGAGCCTCCCAGGCTGCCTCCTTTGGCCAACCCTGTCAAGACCAATGGCACCCTGCTGCGAAATGGGGGCTTGCCTGTCGGGCCCGGCCGCATCCCCAACGGAGACATGTGCTGTATTCCGAACAGTAACTTGGAGAAAGTGGTGATGCAGCCTCTGGTGCACAGACCTGAGAAGGAGCGGTGCGCTCAGCCGGGAGCGAGGGAGCGGGTACGGTTCAGTGAAAAAGTGCAGTACCACGGCTACTGCCCCGACTGTGACGTTCGGTATAACATTAAAAACAGGGAGGTGCACTTGCACAGCGAGCCGGCCCGGGTTGCAGGGAAGCTGCCACACCAGTGCCCTCCTCTGCCACCTCCTCCACCTCCGCTGCCTCCGTTCCTTCTGGAAAATGGAGGGTTGGGGATAAGTCCCAGTAATAGCTTTCCTCCTCCGAGACCTGCAACTGTGCCTCCACAAACTGCGCCAAAACCCCAGAAGACCATCTTGAGGAAGTCAACCACTACAACAGTGTGAAGTATGCCCCTTGTAATAACTCTTTGTTTTTTCCTATATATAAACATAAATAGGTAATGAGCACTTTCTACTTGAGCAATAAAAAGACCCAATGTATTACACCCTGTGTCCAGTGAAGTGGCATAAAAATCACAGGGTAAGTACAAAGAGGAATACTTGTTGATTTTATTTGTACCCACCAAAAATACCCTTATGGCAAAGGGTGCTGAAAAAATACCCATTCTTTAGCACACAGGTTGTAAACATCTGTAGCAGTTTCTTGATTGTAGCATGGTTTAAAAGACAATGAAAAGAAAGTTCAGTGTGAAAATACTGAGTGGTAGATTTCAGTCTATCTGACGTAAGGGAATAACCATTTTTCTCCTGGGTTTTGGGACTTTTCAAATGACTTTTGATGAAGCAAAGTGGAGTACCAGGTAACAGCCTTTGGCTAAATTATAGCAAATGCTTCCTTTTGATTCATGAGTGCTTGACCAACTCACTATATATGGAGTGGTTGCAGTAGGAGGTAATCAGTGGACTTTCAGCGGCTTGGTCTTTGGTAGGGAAGTAAAGAAATAATTTAAATGCATGTTGGCGTGGCTCTGGAAAAACTGAGTTGCATTTTGCTTCTTACTTGCTCAGTGCATCACTGCCGAAGTACAGAGTTTTGAGATGAGCAGGGATGGTCCCATTAAGTTCCCCCTTTCTCTCCCTCTGCAAAATGCTTGTGATTTATCTCACTGTGCAATGACAGTACACTGAAAAAACAAAGCCTAGTCCTGTGTTTTTCACAAAGCTTTTGTCTGGTGCAGATCTTCGTTTTGAAGGCAAGGAAAATGTTGCTTAAGGCCTCCAGGGACATCCACTTAATTCATGTAAAGAGCTTTGAAGTTGAAAAGCTCTGTGCAATTATGGAACATTAACATGCAAAACAAGATATTTTACATGTTACCACATTTTGATGGTGAACCCAATTAATATTCTTACTAGTCGAAAAAAAGTCCTCAGTGTTCTTAATTATTTTATGAGAGAACATCCTTTTATTCTCACAAAGAGAATTGCAGGGACTTAGAGTTTAAAAAAACATCCAGTCAATGAAGAAAATCTAATAATAAATCTATTATTTACAAAAATTGTGCCAAAATAATCTCAGTGCCCAACAACAAATGCTATATTAAAAAGCTTTGCTTATTTCAGCTGAAATATAAAAGGTACTTTTTGGCAAAACAGAAAAAAACAGATTTTAATTTCTATTTACATCTAGTAATGGGTATTAAGCAGATATGTATGTTTCCCTGTATTCTAGTATTTAAACCAAAATTATAAGAGTAATTATAACAAAAGTCCTATCAGATAACTACTATTTGCAAACCTTTGCAGTAAGCAAAGATTTTATTTTGTGCAAAACACATTCAGGGTCTAAAGCTTCATGAAGACCTTTTCCTTTCTTTGCCTTTGCATAAAAGGCAAAGAAAGGAAATCATCTTAAATTCTTAATCGTGCTTTCACCTCATGCCTCCCATGTGTTTTTCATGATGCACTTTACATTTGGTATTGTTTGACTATTGTTAATCCCACGAGAGCTGTTGCCAAGATCAGTAAATCCAGGCACTCACAGCAGGAGGCAGTAACTCCTTCTGCATCTGTGTGAGATCTTTGCTGCCCAGATCAGTTTTTTGGCAGGTGGATTCTGCTCACCTGCTGGGACTCTACACCACTTCCCTTGCACATATGTGGAAAACTACTTTTAAAATCACTGGAACAATGTGTAGACATACCCACATTGCATAGCTGCAATTTCTTTTAAATTTTCTTTTAAAAAGAAAATTCCTGCTGTCCTTACTTCAGCACTACTATACAGATCATTCTCCTGTTATGAGCTAGTTTTCGTTTGTTTTTCATTCTTTAACAAACTACTGTGTATGAGAAATAAGATAATTAAAATCAAATATTGCATATAAAATATTAAAGGAACTAGCACTTGAGTCATTTAGGGGGTTATGGTTTATTACCATAATTTATTTACATAAGCTCTTGGCTTAATTTTTCCGGTATGAGCTCACCTCTGATAGTAGAGCACAGCATTTATCCTCTGGACTTGGCAGAGTCTCATGAACATGTTTGCACCTCCTAGCTGGATGCTGTACTCAGTGGATGTGCATTGATTTACGTGTAAATTTCAGTTTTGTTGCAGTTCTCAGCTGTGGAACGCTTAAGCAGCGCCCAAGTTTCAGCAGTTAATGATCAGTTCTGGTACCTAACATCTTGCATCTCATTCTTTGTCTTCTCCTTCAGAAGTGCTTTCTTGTCTCTTTCCCCTTGCCTCATGAATATCTTCATATGATATGGCTGTGCCATGAAAAGATGCAGCTTTTCAAATGCAATGCTCTCTTTGGCCAGAAATGCAGTTTCAAAATGTTCAAAAACAAAAACATTGTTTTTCTGCAAAGTTTGACAACCCAGGCTTTCTTTAATACAACATGTTCCAAGGTCTCTGTTAAATCATAGTACAAACATTGAATCAATTATGTTTTAATGAGAATGTCTCTGGCCTGTGTCCTATTGCAAGGTATTTTCATCAGTGTAATAATTTCACATTAATAACGTGTCAGAATAAAATTAAGGTTAAAACAGGTAAACTTTTAAAATGTAGTAATCAATTAACTTTAAATTTAGCAGCACTGTTTGGAAACTGCTAATAGAAATGGCATAATGACAAATATAATAGTGTATTCAGCCAGCAGTACTTTTTACATTTATATTAGGAATGTAAAGTCTGTGAATCATTTTTGAGCACCTACAAAACAGTATTCTTCACACCTTTACTGAGGAAAACCCAATAAACTAACCAGAACTGGACAGGAGTTGTCTGCATTTGTAATTTAAATGTAATATTCTCTGAGATTACATTTAGTGTTTTGCAAATATGTTAATACCTGAAAAAAATTAATGTCTAGTAACAGTACTCAGAGCTTTAATTCACTGTTTGCCATCACTTCAGTCTGCTGTCTAGCTTTGATTCCCTGAGGTATTTTAAAATCTAAACTGTCCAGATCTAGACTTCTCAAATGCAAATCAGAGAAGGTGGTTTCTATCAATTTAATGAAGGAGACAGAAAAATTAGAATAAGAAATGAAAATTACTTAACTTGTATTAATGGCATTCATTAAAAAAGCTAACACAAGAATGCATTGCAAGAAAGGAGAACTAGGAGAGCAAAATCCAATAACAATCCTTTGTTATTGAAGGACATAAGGTAGGAATATTCAAAAAGATCATGAATCTTTCTACCACCTGGTAAAAGTCGCTGTTCTTCCTTCTCGTCATCTGGACCTTTCCTAACATCATCCATTTTTCTTAAAAACAAGAAAGAATTCCAAGTATTCATCGATGTTTTTATTATTAAATCAATAATGTTTTTAAAATACGACATGAAATAAGTCAAATACACTACAGCTCTTGATATTAGCTTCCTTCAGATAACCTCTTTATTGGTTTTGCAGCAGAGAGCATTATGAATTCTTGAATTGCCAGAGAGATTTTTTCATGGATGTTTGCTCAGATCTTTTTCTTTCCATATTCTAATTATAACTTCCCTTTCAGTAATGCCACAAACAGTAATTTTGCATGTGCATATAAAATCGTACTGTGGTTGCTGTGTCACTTGTCTGTTGTAGTCTTAAAGTAGGCGTGAGTATTGGGCACATATTTTTGCAGAGGCAGTATTTCTCACACCCTATTTGTATATGTGCTGTGAGCCATGTTTGTAGCTGTATGTGTGTGTTTGGAAGCAAAATACCTACCCACTGCTCAAACTAGTAAAAATATTGAAAGAATAATGCTCACAAGTGCAGAAGGGTCTTGCAGGTGAAATGTGCACAAAGGCATGTGGTAGAAATATATATGGTAAACCTTGCTAATCACAATTACTAGAATACCCAGTCTGAAAAAAATTATGGCACCTGTTATATAAACACATTGTGTTTTATAGGGATATTTGTGATATATCTCATGCAGTATGTACTTGCTGCTGCCTAAAATCTCTGTGTCTGTAAAATTTCTGTAGCACAGACCATCGCTGAAGCAGCTGCAGCAGCAGCACTGGTGGTATCCTGTGGGTTAGTATCCTGTGGAGCAGTGCATGCAAACTGCTGTACATCCTCATCTTTGCTAGCAGTTACATGTTGATGGTTTTTAACTGGGAAAAAAGTAGAAGGGATTTTATCTCCATCGCCTGTTTTGTGGTGGCAAATAGCCTAACAGAGCAAGTTTCTCAATCAGTCATAATTTTGGCAAGGGATTTGTAGTAATCCATCTTGGGATAGCTCTGAGGAGCACAGGCAAGCTGACTTTAATTTCTGATCTTAAATGATTTGACATGTCTCTAACTCATGCTGGCCAAAGAGCTCTCTTGCTATCTGAGACTGGAGCTGCTGGGATAAATGGACCTGACCATGTATCCTGCTGCAGGAGAGAGGCCTGTGCTCAAGTCATCTGGGCAAGTCTGCTCCTGTTCTCTGTGCCTTTGCACTTTTTCATGTATGACAATGTTGTCATTGCTACATGGTGGGAGAGTTTTGTTAAGAAATTACACCTGCACTGTCTTCATCAGCTGAGCTCTATTGTTTCAGTGGTGAAGCATGGCTGTATTTAAGTAGCCCGATCTTTTGTTAATGCTAAATGTTCAGAAATTTTAAAGCAAGGGTTTTCTTACTTTTGAGGTAATCATTCTCCTGTCAGGGTATACAAATAAGATGAGAATCATCATGCAGGTATGATGAAGGTGTACTAGAACTTTTCATACTTTGAGGGGCTGGGTTTGTTATTTCAGGACTATGTCTCTTTTGCTGCATGAAAATGGCTTTTATAGACAAGTGGGAAAAAAGTAGAACATAAATTGCATTCGATAGCCAGCCAAGAGCAGTGCTTTGAGGAATGAGTAAAACCAGAATCATTCTGCTGCCTTGCTTGGGAAAGATAAAGAGTGAAGGTCCAGGAATTGCTGAATCTTCTTCTCAT